TAAAGAGGAAAGATTTGTATTTTTGTATGTATGTTTGTAATGAATAAACTCAAAAACAACTTTGTCGATTTAAAAAATTCTTTCACCATTAGAAAGCTACATTCACCCTGAGTAAAATAGGCTATATTAATTGCTAGAAAAGATTAGGGATCCTTACTAAAACTTTAGTAACGTAACTCAAGGTGTAAAAAAATGCTATAAAATATCTTTCGTCGCGTGCGCTGTGGAAACTATTGGTGATAGAACAAAAGTATGTTTTACAATATTGAAGAAAATATCAATAACTACAAAAAACTTAGCGATGCTATATGTCCAACTATTATCGTTATGTCACAATAACCACTTTTTACATTTTAAAAATTGATAGAAATATCGACTAAAATTACACTATGTTATTCATACTTCTGTTTAAATCCTTATCCAAATAAATCATATTGTTTTCAAAACTATTTCAATTTATATAGATTACTTTTTGAATTGTTCAAATCGGCTATTCCATTCAATAGATATTACGAATTTAATAAGTCATAGAAATAGAATAAAAAAACGCTGTCGCGTTGTACATGTTATTCATACCTATTTTAGCGGTGCGGAGAGGGCAAGTGGGGGCGGGTCATCTATGAAATAGCTAGGTAAGATCAGATAAAAATGTAAAATGTTGTAAAAATATCCACCCGTGCGAAGCCGGGTTGCCGCTAGTTGTATATATAACTGTTTGCCTGTTTCTTTGTAGGTACGTGTCGATTTCAGAAGTACGAAAATTTAAGCAACAGACCAATACTAATTTATTTATAAAAATAAAACATACTTATATCAACTTTTAAGTTCGACCTTCAGAAATTAAAAGTGCAAACTGCTTTTAATTTGGTACAGTAGTTTCAGACAAACAAAATTACTAAAAATCAAAACAAAACAAACAAAACAATACTTTTGACTCCTATTGGTCTAATTCAGACGACTCATATAATTATAGTAAAAATTAAATTAAATTATTTCTTAAATATCTGCCATGTATGTATGTATAGATATCGTCAAGTTACAACTGTACATATATGTCTCCACCTTAAATACCGATCGTTAGAATAATATTTAAATTACTACTACAATTTACTCCTGACTTCGTTCACGTGACCGGGGTATGTTGATTGACAGGTATATACAGTACTACATCCTTTATCTCAAATAGTACTTACTTTAACAAAATAAACAAAGATTGGTCGCGCCATGAAACCGCCAAAAGGTAATAAACAAACAAACTCACTTTAACTCATTTATAAAATTTGTAAGGATATAAGTATATTTAAAATTAAGTACGTTATATAATATTCACATTAGTTGCATTAATTGTCACAAGGCATAACAATTAATTACTGTCTCCAAATTACTTTCAAACGGTTATCTACCATTTTACGATAGGGCTCACAAAATGCCTATCGTAAACAAATAAATTAGAGTTAAACAAACATATTAACTCAAACTATCAATTAGAAATAAACTTTGATCACCATTCAGTAATTGTTATATGCACGTTCTTAAGTAGTGTACATTATGTATCTATGGAAATTGGGGAAACTGATTGATAGTAATGTAGGTATGTTAGGAATATACTGTACAGGTACAAACAAGTATTGCTAGAATGCTCCAGTCGACACTTAGCTAATTCAAATTGAACAGTACTGACTTTAGAACAGGTGTTTTGACTAGGTATTGTTTGCTAAACATATTTTTTATTTAATCAAGGTAAAGTCCGGTATACAGAGGATGTATGGTGATTGGTGAAACATAAACTCGTGTACCAGTGGTGTGTCAGAACGTGGTATTAATGAGCATTAATCTTGGATCATCGGGAACCCCACCATATCCGAGGTAAATCAAACTTTTTTATATTTAATTATATAAAAAAGTTTGATTGATAGTAATGTAGGTGTGTTAGGAATATACTGTACAGGTACAAACAAGTATTGCTAGAAAGCTCCAGTCGACTCTTAGCTAACTCAAATTAAACAGTACTGACTTTAGAGCAGGTGTTTTGACTAGGTATTGTTTGCTAAACATATTTTTTATTTAACTTAAAGGTAAAGCCTGGTATACAGAGGGTTTGGTGAAACATAAATTCGTGTGCCAGTGATGTGTCAGGTCCTGGTACCTACTAAGGAGCATCAATCTTGGATCATCGGGAACCCCACCAGACCCGCGGTAAATATTTTTTTTTTATATTTATTTATATAGATGTATAGTTCCTACTGCAGTTTTTTTTTTATAGGTGATAATGAAATAGTAACCTCACCCGCGCTATCGGTTTACACCAGCGGGGTACCAGTGAAGGATGATAAATGAGGATATAACATGTCAGTTAGCCCATCGTGACGAATTCAACGAGAATTGTTCACGATGGTTTCCAGGGGGAACCACGTAGAGGTTGACTGATAAGGCATATTGCTAGCAATGGGGCTGTCGAACTCCATTGCTAACAATCCCTTTCTCCCCTCCTACTGCAGTTACCTACCCATATGTATGTTTTAATAATTGTTTTACACTTAAATATTCATATAAGCATGTTATAATAATACGTTGAAATAAATATATGTCTAATAAATATAACCTAAGAAAAATAGAGTCTACTTTAAGGAAATCTATTATAGTATTTATTATATATAAATGACAAGTTATTAAATGTAATTGTAAATATACTCGTAACTAAAGATTTCAGAAGTACGAAAATTAAAGCAATAGACCACTATTAATTGATTTATCAAAATAAAACATACTTATACCAACTTTTAAGTTAGACTTTCAGAAATTAAAAGTGTAAACTGCTTTTAATGCTATTAGTACAGTAGTTTCAGACAAACAAAGTTACTAAAAATCAAAACAATACAATATTTTTGACTCCTATTATTTTAATTTAAACCACTCATATAATTATTTCTTAAATATGTTCAATGTATGTTAAGTTACAACTGTAATGTATTAGTAAGATGTATATTTATGCTATTCAATATATTCAATATTGCTAAGTATTCTTTTATTTTAATTCTTTTAACTGGTTTAACCTAAATAAATAAGCCTAAGGCCGACGGGAGGAACGCGCGTCGCGGCGTCGCTCACGCCACCCTTAGCGGCACATTTCGTAGGTGTAGCGTTACGAAATAATAGAATAAAATAAATAAATTATAATGTTTATTGTTATTACCATTATAATGCTTCGTAGGGTAGTCAGAGGCATATCACTGTTATGTACTAAGTAATTTTATAATGCAGCTTGGAATTCAGTATACAACCGATTGTGTCCTACAGCACTATGATACATAAAAAAATGTATGTTGTTTTCATGCTATTTCAATTTGATTTAAATTCAATTGTTTTGTTTTCCAGACTTTTTACAAAGGTCGTCTGCTTGGGCACCATTCTTACGTACTCGAAGTGCAACCCTTGGAGTAATAAGGTGAAGACAACGAAACCAGGGCTTATTATTATTATGACAATTATGTTGAGATACTTATGTGTAAGTATATAGTATATTGTTCTTATATATAGGTATATATGTATATGTAGTGTATATTGTTGTGGTATATATCTAATTTGATTAATAAGTGCTTATCGCATTTGTGATTTGCTGTTCATCTCATCTCAAACTAATTTAAATATACGTATTTATAATACGTATGTTAATTAATATATAGATATCAATATAAACAGCGTATCAATTTACGTATATAAGTAGGTATCGACGTGATTTCATATAGACTCAGATAAAAATTATTAATCTGATAAGACACAACCCAAACAAAAAAATCTATATGTACTAATCAGGAACTTTCTGAATGATTTGTTATGTCACTGCTTACTTCCGGAGTAGCGAGTGTTGCTTTATTATTAATCGACTTAAAAAAAGGAATATTATATCAATTTTAATAAATAAACTCTGTATTTGTTTAGATGTATGGTATCATATCATCGTCCATAATAAAACGATTTATTGTTATTTAATCTATGATAGGTAAGGAAAGCAATTTCTATTTCTAAAAAAATTAAATACCATATAAATAAGTTTATTATTTTATTTTAAATTATAAACAAGTTTAATGTTTATTTTGTAATTTGTATTTAAGTCACAATTGTTAATATGAAATGAAAATATTAACATGAAAAATCATATATTACGACATAATCTATCGGAAAAAACTCTATCCTAAGTTAAATAAAAAATAATTATAACTAAATTAATTCTTGTCATTTTGAATTTTTACGTAAAGCAATAAAAGAGAGTATTGTTAGACTTAAAACGTTTGAGTCATTGGTAGTTAAACAAACTATATGGGTAACCTACATAATACCTATAGATATACAACTAGGCTGAAAAACATTTTAAATTTTATTAAAATAATTATAAAAGTTTTTTCGTCTAGTGTAGATATAATTTAGTGTAATGTAGGTAATGTAGGTAACATTTACCTCTAAATTTTTACTCGTTGTTCAAATATTAGTAATTGACGTAACAAAATTAAAATAATATATAGTTTAAATACATGGCTTTCATATATAAAATACTGGGAAAGCAGGAAAATATATTTTTCAACTTTGAAAGGACTATTGTAATACGTATACTTATTAATAGTCATTATCTTTGTACCTATATGTAGATTCATTTAATTCACTTTCTATTCAAATACATACCTACCTATCTATTAGATACTGCATCACACATACTTATCTAAGTTTCATAATAAGATTGAAATCTCTTTAGCGGTCACGATATTCGATATAACCTTTTTACGTAAACCTCGAGACAGACGAAATTCGACGCTCTACACAAGCACACATTCAAGCTAACGCACTTATGATTATTCCATGTTTTTATCGTTGCGAGCTGCGGTATTATTAGCGTTGGAAAGGCGCGAGCGGAGCGAAGCTTGACGCGCACGAGGGGGACGGCGGGGCGAAGAGGAGGGGAGCGGCGCGGGGCACGCGGGGAGGGAGTTCGAGAGATGTGCGCGCAGCTCACCCGGGGCGGAACCGGGCCGACTCCGCCTCACTGCCTGCCAATAGCTTGCGAGGTGGTGGGGCGCTCGGGCCCCCGGCTTCTATTTACTCTTTCAATCAGTGCGAGTGTTTGCCCCTGGCCGGCGTGCACGCGCGGGTGATGCGCTAGCCATGATCTCGCAGAAGCTCTCGTACGGCGACGTGCCGACGTCTGCGTCGCTGTCCTCGTTGTCTCCGGGTCTCGCGCCACATTACGTTAATGGTATGGGATGCATGCCAACGCAGCCCTATCCGAATCTCTACTCCAACAACATGGTTGCTGGCGGCTCGTGCATGGGCTCCCCGGGCGTCGGATACTCGCCGCCCAGCACGATGGCATCCTGCATGGGCGGCGGTGGAGCTGTACCCTACGGATCGTTACCGCGTGAACAAGAGGCAGCTTCACCCACTTCAGCACTGCAGAGAGCCCGCAACGACAAGACCTACCGCCGTTCGTATACACACGCAAAACCGCCATATTCTTACATATCTCTTATTACGATGGCCATCCAGAATAATCCATCGCGCATGCTCACACTCTCGGAAATCTACCAGTTCATCATGGACTTGTTCCCGTTTTACCGACAGAACCAACAACGTTGGCAGAACTCGATTCGACACTCGCTCTCTTTCAACGATTGTTTCGTGAAAGTGCCACGCACTCCCGACAAGCCTGGCAAAGGTTCTTTCTGGGCCCTACATCCCGACAGTGGTAACATGTTTGAGAATGGATGTTTCTTGAGACGCCAGAAACGATTTAAAGACGAAAAGAAGGAGTCGATAAGACAAGCGCAGAAAGCGGCTCACGGACACGGTCACCACGGCGGCTCACATGAAAAACGAGGTGAGCACGCACACGAAAAGACTTCAGGCGCCGGCGGTGGCGCAGGAGAAGACAAAGAGATGCGTGACGATATCTTAGCGCAATTGCACGCAGGGCCGGAACTATGCCTGCCGGAGCATACGCCGTTGTCGCTGGAACATTACGCTCAGCTAAAACAGGAGCCACAGGGATACGCGCCGGCGACTCACCCATTCAGCATTACGCGGCTGCTACCAGGCGCCGACACGAAGGCTGACTTGAAGATGTACGACGTTAACTATGGATACGGGCACACGCCGGCGGAGAACTACTACCAGTCGCCGTTGTACCATCACCACCATGCGCACACGCAGCCGCCCTTGTGACAATACCCGTTGGCGTAGGCGTCGCGCCGCGCGCCCGTCTGGACCGCGCCGCACGATGCCCCCGCCGCGCCCTAGCCGCTGATGTAAGTAACAGAAGGCTCTGGTGCAAAGACATTATCGAGTACTCCCTAATCTCATGTTGATATTGGACTCCGTGTGAGCGTTTTGTTTTTGGTGATATTCTAGTAGGGGTGCCACCCGTCCGAAGGGTTTGTGTATATTTGTAAATATTTACAATGATTTCCAAATGAGTCCATACTGTGTGCGTTTTAGTAGGTAGATGTTTTAGTGCACGATGGACGCGGGTCGTGCTTCGGGCGGTTATGCGAGATACGCCTATATCGCATGTGGAACTTTTACGAAAGTGTCCTTTATAGTCCTTCGATTTGTTGTTTGAGTGTCAATTGTTGTTAGAGCTTAAAAAATTGATCATTATCGTTTTTTAAAGATATTAAGCAAAAGGTAGACAGTATAGATGATTTGCCCGCCCAAAATAAAGTATAATAGACGTGACATAATGTGTGATAATTTGCAAGTACAATTCGATCGATACGTTGCTTTTATCGGTGCTTTTATCTACGCATTATGTTTAGATAAACTGTTTATTTGTGCAACGCGCGCGTTGAACTCTTTTTTTTACATAAAACAGAAAATAACATTTAATATAAGAATTTAATAAAGAAAAATTGACTGATATCGTATCTGCTACGACTATCATAATATTTCATCATCATCATTATTTTAGCCATTTATTTTTATTTTTTTTAACATATCAATTATATTTATTTAACCAAAAAAATGGCAGTAGTTATTTCAACCGTTTTATTATTAATAAATGAAGTAATCATTATTATTAAGTTACTCTTCATAAAATGTATTCATATTCATTATATATGTATATATATATATATATATATATATATATGTATATATATATATATATATATAAAAAAGTTTATTTAAAAATGCATATTTATTTATTGGTAACACAAAATAACCATGCTCCAAACCATTTATTTACACGTGCTCTTCGCATATATATTTATCCGTATTTCAGTGCATAATCCATTTCTCCGGTGATTGAGTTAAGTATTTATTTTACTGTCCATAGTCAGTGCCGTTTTTTCTGCTTGCAGATGCATAAAAAGAATGTTATTAATTTAATATTTGTAATTATGAAGGTAATTTTTATCGCATCCAAAGTATTTTTTTTACACATATCCTCCTTACAGCTCCTTCCGTTAGACCGCGTTCAAAATTGAACGGCTTGAATTATTGATGATCACCACGTTACTGTCCGACTAGACCCACTGAAACTGCGTAGAGATATTGCATCTCTGTGCTCTCTTCTTCTCTTCTACCGAATTTATCATGGGAAGTGTTCGAATTGATACCTACTGCTAATTATAACCCGCCACAAACTACAGTTTCATCCCTCAACCATCCACCGTCTGGATGAGTGGCGGTCTTCCACAGTGCGTTTTACAAGACACGTTCCTCCACGTACAACCACTATTTGGAATTAACTTCCAGTAGCAGTATTTCCGAACCGATACGACATTATAACCTTCAAGAAAACAGCATATTCCTTTTTAAAAGACCAAAGGCAATGTTTTTGGTGTTGTATGCGATCATGGGCGGCGGTAGTCATTTACCATCAGGTGACGATGCCCCCTGTGTTATAAAAAAAATATCGCTCACTTTTATACTCGTAGATTCTTTTAAACACTCCATATTTATTGACGTAAAAATTCTTTTCAAACTTTAAGCCTAAAGTGTATGAATTTTGCATATATATATACAAGTATATACTATATATATATATATATATATATATATATATATATATATATATATATATATAAGTATATACTACACAGTTTATTTAATATTTGTACAAAATTATCAAAATTTTATTATTTTCTTCAATTTATTTACTGAACTCTTTATTGCACCAAAACATAAAAATAAACAATGACATATAAATAATTCAACTGAAATTATTTTCTTCAATCATTATTGTTTATTTATATTCTGTAATAGTAGTAACTAAGTGAAATAGCCTAGCCATTTATCAGTTGTGATTTATCAATATTTTATAATTACATACAAATACGAGTACAAACATTTTCAATGACTTAAAGGATAAATTTTGCAGAATGCTTTTTTAATAAAATTTTTACGTTACATTTTCTTCGTCTATCATTCAGTATAAGAGTTTTATTATAAAGTTTTTTTATTATTTTTATGCCTTTACTAGATGAAACTTTAATTATTCCTCTCCATTGTAGGACGAGATTGAAGAAGAACTTGGATTAGATTGTTATTTACCTATTCCAACAACAGTTGACACTCAAACGAATATATATTGACGAAGTGACGTCATATCGTGGACCGTTGAACAGTGCAATGTCTTGTGTAAAATGTATATAAATATATTATATACTTAGATAGGCGAAAGGAATTATAGTTCTGTCATCGACCATCGCATTTAGGAGTTTAGTTAAGTTTTGTATATATAGACAATAAGATGTATACAGTGTGCCCATGGAACAATTACATAAATACACAGTTCGTCTGATGAAGGTTTTTTCCTAAATTTATTTGTATTATTTTATATTTAAAAGTGATAGCAAGTAGCTGAGAGAAAAATACAATTTAATTAGTTCATTATACTTTTTTTATGTCAATTGTTTTCTGGGCAACCTGTATAAAGACTTCTAAATAATGGTGTTTGGTGTAAGATAGGTTCCTATCTATGCTTCTGCACATTCCATTCCAATATATATTTATATGCAAGTGTCAATTTAGCATTTTATTAAGAACTGAATATGTTTGGCAAGCGTATAGTCTAGCTTTATGTACTACAGATTTAAGAGTCGTTTATTTCTATTAATCCCATTTATTATTTACAAAATTGATATTCTGTAACGTATAAAAATGATAATGATATTCGTAAGTTAATTACTATGCCTATGAAAAGATAGAATATTAATAATTTTCATTTATGACCGAGGTACATATATTAAGGGAGAGTTTGTACAAAAGTCGTTTGCTTGAGTACCTCTGTCCCATTCGTCTTTCAACCGTAAAGCAGTTGTGTTTGCTAACTATGTTTCGGTTTGAAGGGTGGGATATGGCGTGAATTTACAGGGTACAGAGGAATAATACCTGAGTCCTTAGGCATGGCAACGCATGGGGGGTATCATGGGCGAAACAGTATACTTTTTTATACAACTTAGAATGGCAAACAAGCTGATGGCCCACCTGATAGAAAGTGGTAACCGTCGCCTATAGACATGAGCAGTACCATGGACATAATAGAGTATACTGTTTCGCCCATGATAACCCCATGCGTTGCCATTCCTGAGGACTCAGGTGTTATTTCTCCGTACCCAGTAAATTCCCGCCATATCCCAACCTTCAAACCGAAACACAGCCATGCAAATACAACACAACAAACTCTGTTATGTCCATCACACTGCTTGTGTCTATAGACAACGGTTACCGCTTTCCATCAGGTGGACCGTCAGCTTGTTTGCCATTGTAAGTTGTATAAAAAAAAACAGAAAGCTCAATTATTATTATTATTATAATGAAATTTATAGGAATTAATTACCCTTTGATTATCTATTAGTTTGAGAACATTATCTACAGGACATTTAGATTAAGTAATGCGTGTATCAATAAGGCCTACACAGACGTGACACACCATTGTACCTACTTGAGTGCGGATTTTTTATTTGCTGTTTAATATAGACAAGGTAGTATTTAACCAAATTTGTTCTATGGTATAATTATTACCTCCCGTTTCTTCTGAAATGTATAATTTAGACGGAAAAAATAATGCATTATGTGACAGGAAAACAATATAAACTAATGTCAAGTGAGACTCTATATTTTAAAACTAACAAGGAAAAAAGTGTCAAAAAACATACATCAAAATGAATATAAAAATACAAATATATAAAAACGTTGATTAGCCAAATTGCAAGCAATATGTTATGTATACATTAATGGTTACTCAGACATCTACAAAAGTATATTTTATATATTAATCACATATATACTTTTATATAAATGTATATATTTTAGGCATGAACAAGTAAATCTATAATATACCTAATAAGGGTATGTTTATTGGGAACGCAGTGTAATTTACCGATTAAAAATATATGCGACTACTGTCTTATACCTACACAGACTTAAGAACGTAGAGAGCGTACGTAGAGAGAAGAACTTAGAAAACGTACTAATTTTAGTCAATTGTGTATGCGTTGTGTATTGTGTGTATTAATTTACTAACTTCATGAAACTTCACTACTAAGTGCAAGTTTCTTATTATAAGACGAGAATTATTGTTAAAATGTCGGTCAGACAATTTAGTATAGGATTTTATATCGAGTTTTCATTCGTTTCCTCTAGTGTTATGACCTTTTTTTCTTTAGTCGTCTCCTTTAATATCCAGGAGATGAAAAATAGCTAGTAGTGTCACTTTGTTTTATTGCTCCGTCATTATGAAAACAAGTACTCTATTTTCAGTGGGCAAAGATACAGTTTTGAGTGATTTATTCCAATTGGTGGTAGGTACTCTGGACGAGAAGTGTTGTTCGTCTGTGTAGGCCTTTACAGCAAAGAGGTATCAGAAAACATCTTCTTGTTTCTAAAAGTTTTGGATATATTATGTTTTTAACCATAAACCAGTATGTTTCGCCTTGAATCATACGTATTTAGTAAAAACCTTGAAGGTTATAACCTTTATCAATACCACTTAGTACAGTGGCTGGCCTGGTATTGTTGACTACAAGTTGGAATGACTATATGAAATTATTTTATTACATACTAGCTGTTGCCCGCGACTACGTTCGCGTTTCCATCGTTTTTCGTAAAATAAGTAGCCTATGTCCTTCCTCACGGTTCAGTGGTGTTGATGTAACAGACACATTTCCCTTCACTGCTTTGCTTCTATTGATCGTAGCATGATGAAAAATATACTATAACCTGCCCTGGAGTATAAAGAATAATTGTGCCAAGTTTCGTTAAAATCCGTCGAGTAGTTTTTGTTTCTATAACGAACATACAGATAGACAGACAAATATTTTACTGATTGCATTTTTGGCATCAGTATCGATCACTAATCACCCCCTGTTAGTTATTTTGGAAATATATTTCATGTACAGAATTGACCTCTCTACAGATTTATTATAAGTATAGATAAACTTGATTGGTTAGTTAATTTATAATAATTTCATTTACAATTATCATAACTAGTAAACTGCTCGACACTACATATAATTCATATAAATTATATGTAATTATAATAAATTTTCAGTTTAATATTAAAATGAAAATTTGATTATGATTGAAAAAGTAAAAGAATAAAAGGAAGTCATACCTCTGTACAGCAAGGATTTTGTTCTCTAACAGTGCTCAAAAATTTATTATAATTGTGTCAACTAGAAATCTTAAGTTAATGTTTATTTTAAAAGGAAAATGCATGAAGTAATATTTTGAATAGGTAGATGTAGATAACTAAAGATGTTTACGTAATTTATATTATATATTTACCTGTGTTCACATCTCTAATACCGACTTATGTATTTTTAAGATATATTTTCCTTTATAAATGTTATAATTTTGCTCTGTTATAAAATTGGTGATTTGAATTAATTTAAAACGAATTTACTGTGTCCCTTTTTCAATAAGGGGTTTTAACTTCAAATGTTCAGTCGGCTTATTTATACTATTATCTTGTTTCGTCTCTTTCTTTCAAACGGAATTTTTAATACGAAAGAAAACGACAAAACATTATGATGGTCAAAATAAGGTAAATATAGGTGTTACGTTTTCATAACCAACACATATAATCTTTAAATTTATAATATTTAAACTGTATCATTTAATAAATAAGTTTATTATTAAAATTCATCCAACTATACGCTTGCCAAAATAGCTTATAAAACATAGCTATAATTAAGCTATGATAATATACATATATAATATTATTTATGCTAAATTAATCCTTGTAATCATAAATACATATTAATGTCATATTACTCGAATCTAGATAGGATACTTATATATCATCTGTTAGTTTCAGAGTTAATAAAATTAAGTATTTACAAAAATATACAGCATTTTTATTTAACACATATTTTTATTATTATTATATAAAATTATTTTAATAATTGTTTTATTATATCATTAGAAATATTATTACAAATTAACAAAATTAGAATAATTTAATAAATCAAGATCTGTAAACACAGTAAATTTAAACGTTACCTATGCAAATGTAGTTCTTATGCCATAGAAAAAAATTATTAAGTATAACTTATTTATTCTTATAGTATTACTTTATTTATTTATGTCTATTTGTACTATATGTAGATTTTAATATTTCTCAGTGAAAATTTCGAAATTTGTAATTCTGATCGTTTCAAATATTTAAGTTTTGAAAATGTAACTTAGTGAAAAAAAACAGTAATTATCTATATATTGTTAGGATAGTACAGTATGAATTATTAAATATGTAAAATATCATACTAATATGTTCATATATAGTAATAATATACATCGGTAAAAATTATATATTTAAATATATTTAAAGTGAATTTATATGACATACTGCTAACTAGATGTAATAAAAATAGATAGATACATGTACCTGTGGGGAATGTACTTATAAAACTCAACTTGTATCTTCTTTTCAGTCAACTACTCTTGTTAGAGTAGTCATGGTTGTGTTAATGGTGTATATGGTGGATGAATTGCCCGTATAGATGGGATCTATAAAGATATGTCTCCACATTATGCCTCACGAAAACATTGAGTGATGCTCGAAGGAATAATCGAGTCAATTAGGTCCGTCCAGCGTAAGCATTGATTGCTCTTTTCTGGAAATGTGTCCGAAGAAGTGGAGTATTCTTAAATGTACAGTCGACGAGAGCCTTTCTTTTTAGTTGCTCTAGAACAGAGACATTGGTAATAAGCCGTTCCCGAGATTTTGAGGAGACGTCTCCAACACCATATTTCCAAGGCATCAATTTTGCAGAGATCTTTTAACCTCAGAGTCCAGGTTTCAAAGTCGTATGGAAATATTTAAACAACACGATTTTTGAGATGAAATTATTTTTAGTTATTCTGCTGTCCTTCCGATCCGATTTTATCATATTTTACCACCGCAGATATTGATATTGCAAACTGTCTTTTAATTTCCAGCTCGAAATTCGTCCCTAGAGCTAGTAGAAATAAGGTAAACGTAGTTTTGTACCACTTTACAGTTGGCTATATTTTTAGGTTTTGTATTAATTTTTTCACCTCTGTCTTATAGATACCATAGCAACCTTTAATTGTCCACTGCTGAACAAACCTCCCCCTTGAGGCGTTTTGCCAGTAGTTGTACGGGAAAGGAAGGTCGGCTCTGTCTACAACAGTCATTTTTCTCTCGTCTCTATTGATGGTAATACTAAATTTGACGTGTTTACAAATATACAAAAAAAAATATGACAATATCATATATTCTTTTAATATACCTAATATTTGTCAACAAAATATAAAATAGTACACGTGTTACAGTACATTCGGCATTAGTATGCATAATTAATACTTATTTTATATAAAATAGATTAAATACCTAGTACAAACAAATAGGTAGATACCTAAGTAGTATTGTTATATGGACAAACAGAACTTTGTTTTAACAATAATAATTGACTTTTACGCATTTGACCAAGAATGATCATTTATTTTTAATTTAAACATACAACCTGTTCACAAGTTATGTATGTATGTAATTGTAAGATT